ACCTGTATACGTAATACTCAGCTATGAATTACTCCATAATTTCAATCAACAACGTACTGCACAATGTATAGTATATATTGAATTTAGACAGTCCATTTAGTGATGGGCATAAGATGGGCTGTTAGAGGCCTTATGTCCCAAACCTCTCTTTATTTAGTACAATTCCATGAGTTCAAAGAAGTGATTCAGTTTTAACACTCTTTTCATGTGCATTTTATATGTGAAAAGTGCCATAAACATAATAAGTGTTCAGTAATGAGTCACTCTTAATATTAGTTCTATGATTATAATCGTTATAGTACCATAACACACGTTTTTATTTTAAAAATATAACTAATAGTAAGCTAAAGGCTCAATTTTTATCACAGGAGTCAAATAGTGTTTCAGGAGAAAATTCAATTTCAAAGAGCTGAAATAACTCATCTAAAATTCAGTAATTATGTCATTGAATATCAAATCCTATTCCTTTTCCATTCATGTCTTGATGCTTTCATTCTTGTAAAATCATTTAACTTTTCTTATGTACGACTGGTTTCCTCATCAGAATTAAGTGCACAACATCCGTTGTACAGCTGGCATACAGAAAGAATTGTGTTACATGGTAAAGGTACAGATGAACACAGCATAATCACTTGCTTGAAGAATAATTGCAGAGTTCTTTAAATCTCTTTGGGGGGTAAGATCACATATATTATAATTTTGTATTGCTTTGAAAATGGTCTAATTGTTTAAGTGCTCCCACAGTGAACTGAGGTATTATAAAAAGAGAAAATAATTTTAGGGTGACCTATTTTTATGAACTTTCATACTTTTGCAGACCATTTTTGTATTAATGTACTTGGTCTGTAGAAGAAATGTAGTGGCACTGATTATGTTTTAATCGGGGAGGTCCTCTTGAGGGCTTAGAAAATGATTCACTTGTCCTCCTGGTAAAATCATATCCGCCCCAAAGTTCTAGACTGACTAACTTATTTTCTGTGAGGACTCCCCCTCTCTGCAGATAGAATGGATCATTCCTTCTTTGAGGTTTCAGTGTTTTGTTCCTAATATTCTACAGCAGGCATCACATTATATTCAAGTGTTCTGTCATATTAGATATGTAACTAAATATATCCGCTATAATATGGGTTCCTCATAAGGACAAGACCAATCTTTACCTACACTGTTTGATACACACTACTTAGTAGAGTTGGCTGAGTTAATATTTAAAAAGTAGCATTTAAATAGTCAGCTCTTAAGAACACTGATGTAATTATTAAGACCATTTTTGTTTAAGAGAACCTTCCAATGTAAGGAAGAATAAGGATCATAAGACCATAGATGAAATGCATGTGCTTTCCCCCTCACTTAGAGATTTTTAACATATCTCTGACATATATAAGCCTGACATGTGAGACTTCACCCTTAATAAGTAATACCATTCCTAACAAAATAAAATAACAATGAAAGGCTCCTGGAGGGTGGCTCAATCGGTTAAGTGTCCTATTCTTGATTTTGGCTCAGGTCATCATCTCAAGATTCATGAGTTGGATCCCGCCATTGGGCTCCAGACTGAGAGCACAGAGCTTGCTTGGGATTCTCTCTCTCCCTCTGTCTCTGCTCCTCCCCTGCTCACCCATGCTCTTGCTCTCTCTCTCTCTCTCTCTCATTCTCTCCCTCTTTCTCTCTTAAAATAAATGTAAAACAAAAAAGAAAAATATATATATCAGCCAGTTTCTGGAGGTCATATGTTCCTGATAAATGCAAAAATTATCTATATATAAATATCATATATTATTCTCTATGCATTTCTCATCTTAAAGCTAATTATCGGTTTAAAGTAGAATCTCAGTCTTAAGATAACTTATGACTAGATAATAGTCACATTTTACACAGACAAAACAAAATTAATCTCTTCCTCCTCCAATGTTATAAAACATTAATGCCAATTCTGAGCCTCCAATAATTCCCCCCATACTGCAATAGATACAGAGTTTACTGTGCTTTGCCTTGACAGGTTCACAAAGAGTTGTATAAAAAGAGGGTTAATTCAGCATCCATTTTGCTACAATACACTATGCTACAATAAAAAGTACTACAAAAAAAAAAAAAACCCCTACTACAATGCGCTAAAGTAATATTTTTATGACACTGAAGAGTTTTTAAGTTTTCTCTAATATTATCTAACAGGATAAGACAGGGGGGTAGGTATTCTTTTATCCCCATTTCAGTCATGTGGAACTTTAGTGATCTACCCAAGAGCATGTAACTCCTAAGTGGCAGGGGAGGGGCTGGAGCACAGATCTTTTAACACAAAACCTCCGACTCCTACCCTGAACAAAGCATAAGGGGACTTCAATGTACTCTCATTTCCACAAACACTGATAGGGGGTGTGGGGGAAACTTATGCTCCAGACTCCAAACTTAACAGAAAAGAAACTACAAAGTATACACACTACCTTTCACACACTGGCTAATAATTTTCCATTTTCACTCTATTCTTGCCCAGACACAAGCAGATTCTCCTACTACATCTTTTTATAGTTGGTAGCAGTGGGTTGCTGATGAGGGGGATGACTGACCAGAGATCTAGATTTAAATTCATTATTGAAATGACTGCAGCATAAACCAGGTGGGAGGTGGTGCTGTTTAGTTAATAGAGAATGAGAATTTCAAGGATCACTGCAGGTTTCCATGTGTAGTAATGAACAGGGGAAAAATTTCAAATCATTCTCCCCTTAGAAAGAACAAAAATATTAGTGATGGGGAACAGCGGGAAGTGGGTGTGCAAATTCAGTAGAGCAACAGTCACTAATATATTCTAAATTTCCTCTGTTAAAAAATACAGGAAACCTACAATTACCACAGATTGTCTTGTTTAGATGCATTTCTTTTTGAAAAAGAATAGCTTTTTAATAAAAAAAAAATAGCATAGCTTTTTTAAAAAAAAGCTAACTTTAAATTCATGAGGTTTTAGCATTTCAGATGTAGGAGAGACTAGGCAATTATGAATGAATATGTTAATATAAAAGTATGACCATAGTTTGCTTTTTAACTTTTTATATTTATTTCTTTAAAAAAAATTGAATAGCTTTATTGAGATATAATTTATGTACCAGAAGGTTTACTCATTTTAAGTGTACAATTCAGTATTTTTTTAGCTTTGTACAGAGCTCTGCAATCATCACAATCTAAATTTTGCAATCTAATCTAATCTAAATTACCTTCCCCCATCAAACAAACAAACCTAGTTTGCCCTTAGCCAGAAGAGAATCAACACCCAAAGCCATTTTACCTAACAACTGTGAGATATTTGATTCAAGAATTTATGGGAAAATCTATGACCGATTTAGCCCATGCAGTATTAACCTGAAAAATTAAACAGTAGGTATTTAAAGAACAAAAATACAGACCCCAAAAGCAGACTATTTGGCGAACTCTATTTGTAGGATAAGCTCGACAACTTTGGGTAATATTAAAAAATAAATAAAAATGTCCCTTCTATACTTGATATCAGCAGGAATAAAAGAACTATTCTAGTTCAGCAGGCCTAAGAGTTGCTCTTAGTGGTTCCAAAGATAGCTCTAGTGTCACAATCATGAACCTAAAATGTTTCAAACCCACTCACTGTAAAGCTATGATGACAAACTTCAATATAAAGCAACACAAGCAAAAATATCTGACAAAAGGATTTTGAAAGAATAGCAAATAGAGTCAGGGTAAATAAAAATGAATCAAACAAAATCAGTTAAATTAGTTATTTCTTTTGTCTAGTTTTTGGAAATTTCAAATTTTCTAGGTCGTTTTTCCTCCAGATTGCTGCTTTTACACAGGAGATCAGATTTGCAATAGCCTTTTAAATAAACATCAAAATGAAACTTTTAGAATAAGAACTCATTAATCTGTTCAAAATGGTAAGCATAAAACCAGATGCCTAGTTTTCATTCTGCAGATATAATTTAAATAGGTAACATTTTGTTAAAATTGGCATAGAAGTGAAGAATAGATTAATCTATGTCCAGGAATTTGGGATAATACTGGTTTTGACAGCCAGCCAAAGATCAGAAAGACTACGTTATAAGCTTATTATGATGCTCTCACAACTCAGTACTCCAGTACAGGTCCCATTTTATTAATAACAATGACATAGTACTTGGCTACATCTACCACACAGGATCTTCTTTCACCAGCAAGAATTTTTAAAAGGTTGAGAAAGCCCTCAATTTCTGAAACTTCTTTCAGTAATAAGATTTTCCTGAAGGTTTAGAAAGTCTCCAATTTCTGAAACTTCCTCTTCAACTTATATTTTCCAAAACATACCACAACAAAGCATGACTGAGTAGGGCACCTCAAATGCCATGAAGAAAAGTAAAAATTGCTCCTAGGCTAAGCTACAAGTTCACGGTCTTCATGGTCATTACTTCCTAATTCACTTCTTTTGAAATTCTCACGAGATCTCCCAAGTACTTGCTTTAATATGACAAATGGTAATATGATCACAAACCTACTGATGAACTTAAAATTCCTTCATGCCCATTTTAACGCAGACTTGCCATATATGACAAATGTCACATCGTATGTGGTAAAACACTGGCTAACACTTTGTGAGACAGTGCACTCCACTCTTTCATCACCCTGATTATCATGCAGACTTTGATCATGCGCATATGCCACACAAAAGAGTACAACTGCAAGAAGTAGCCACCATCTCATTTTGTCCAATGTTTTCACTCTCTTCTAGATCTTTCAGTGGAGCTTCTTGTCTTAGAACAGTCTTAACTGGTTGACAATTTATCCATTTTTAGTTCTCCTGCCAGAATCTCTGGAGGAGATGCTAATGAGTCTAGCAATGGTTAATAGTCAACAGGAGGAATAACAAAGAAAAGTTAGAGGTGTGAATCATCAACGAGCTGGAATAATCTAGTTCTGTGTAGCCAAGTCAACTAAATATTCACGCGAGAGAGATACCTCCTTTATGTAGTCGAATTATTCACTCAGTGAAGACAAACAGAAAAACATACCTGCTTGACCAGTGGTGATACTGACAGCCGCAAAGAGCCTCTGGGATCTGCTTAAGTCAGAAACTCCATTTACAGCTTCAACTTCAAAAGTATAATTAGCGTGGGCTAGCAGGTCCATGACAGTGACATAGTTATCCTCTAATCCGGTCTGCTGGGGCATGTAGCCAATGTTACTCCCACAGGGAACGCACTCGCCCTGCTCCCAACTGCACCGCTTACACAATACTCTGTAGGTCACATCATTTCTTCCCCCATTGTCGGCTGGAGGACTCCATTCCAAACTTACTGTGGTTTGGTTGATGTTGAAAATGAGGTTCTGTGGTGCAGATGGAGGCCCTTTGGAAACCAAAAATAAATAAACAAATAAACAAAAAAAGAAAAAAAACAACCCCAAAAAAACAAAAAATGAAGGAAAGGATCTGTGTGGGCCACTAAGCTAGTGGCTCAATTACCATACAGAAAACTAGTTGAAATGCTTTCTTTTACATAAACATTTCATTACCTTTCCTAAAGAAGCTGTATAAAAGCCTCCTTGAATTCACTTGGCAAGAGGCTCTATTTATTTTCCATTTAATATGTCAAAATGAAAACAGGATAACAACTGTCTTTGTGCTTTTGCCACAGTCTTTAGCTATTTTTCTTCTAAGCAATTACAAAGAACAGTTAATGCACCTAAAAAAAACAGTTGTGCGGTTGTTTAAAAATAGTTTTCCTTTTAACCATATAACAGAGAATACATCTATTCATTCCTAATGTGCTCAAGAATGATTTACAGTAAGTCTGGGATTGGCTTTGGATTTGGGTCTCTCGAACATTCATTAATTGAAGCACCAAGATGTGAGATTTGCTCTATTTAGTGATGGAATTTGAAGTCAGAAACCGTTACTTTTTAATCACATTTCATAACCACGTAAGACTCAAATAACTTTTGCATTTTATTTATGATTTTTATTAGATACATGAGAAAAATATTCTTAAAATGCATCTTATCAGTTCATGAAAAATTGGGGCATCTGGGTGGCTCAGATTGTTAAGCGTCCAAATTCCGCTCAGGTCGTGATCTCACGGCATATGAGCCCGAGCCCCGTGTCGGGCTCTGTGCCGACAGTTCAGAGCCTGGAGCCTGCTTCGGATTCTGTGTCTCCCTCCCCCTCTGCCCCATTCACATTCACACTCTGTCTCTCTTTCTCTCTGTCTCTGTCTCTCCCTTTTTCAAAAATAAATAAACAGTAAAATTAAAAAAAAAAAAAAAAAGAAAGAAAAATGGCCTTATCAGTTCATGAAAAAAAATTCAATATTTAATAACAATTAAGAATTCATTCACAAATCCAAAGCCCATCTCAATGATGTCACAACAGTACAACCAGTGTAAGGAATCTGAAAGTCCTTTCCTACGTTACGATTCTGAACTTACTTGTGCAGGCCACATACGGTGGATCAGATGGAGCCCTGTAATACCCGTCCTCACATTCACATCTGGAGGAGCCTTCTTTATCGGAAAAACTGTGAGTGGGACAACGAGAGCACTGGAGATCTTGAGAGGAAGATTTGTAGAACCCACGGCCACAGGCTGGGGATGCAAAAGAAAGTGAAAATAGAAACGTGAGAGAAGATAGATTTTTTTTTTTTAATTTTAGTAATAGCAAAGAATAAAATATGAAATTTAATTTGTGAAAAACAAGCTCTTTATGATAAAATAAAGTGTATTCAGTGTAAATCAATTTGTAGAATGGAGAATGTAGAATACTACATTTTAAAGTAAAACAATAAAAACCAAATAATACAGTAAACTTGCGCCAATAGGTGGCATTGGTCTGAAACCTAGAGCCCAAAACTGAACAAAAGCATAATTTAATATGACAAAATCTTAGGATATTTAATTCAGGGTAACTTCACTTACAATATAATTAACTTACTTGTTGAAACATACGAAAATACTTCAAAGCTATGTTTTCTTAATATGAAATAGCTGTAAATTAACTTTTTATGTGTTAATTTGGTTGATACTGAAAAATACTAAAATAATTTTAATCACCTGATGAGGAAGAATAATGATATAAAAAATTTCATCTGAAAATGACAGAAATGTATTCCCTCAAGTTTTCAGAAAACTTCAAGATACAATTTCAACCAATTTAAGTTATAAGGCAGGGTACCTTGCACTAAGTGAACTTTCTTGTTACTAAAAATAACAAAAGCCTATAAATAGGAGAAACCTATTCCACCACAAATAAGGAGAAAGCCTTCTACTGTAAACAGATGATGACTGTTTATCCTCTCCTGAGAGAAGTTAATAATACCGTCACACTAACACAGCAACTGCTCTCAGCAATGAATAGACAAGTACAAAGAAGGTCCCTAGCACCTCTCAGTAAAGTTGCTCTTATTCACTTAGACCCTATTTGCTATTAAGTCAGGAAACCTTGAACCGTTTTCTATCACTGATTATTTTATGTATTTGTCTTTAAAATTTAGCAAATTAAATTTACATTATTTCAAATTTTTTTATTAATTAATGGCATGATACATTGACTATATTAAGTAAGTTCAATTTACCCTTCATATTTATCAAATGAATATATGTTTAAGTTTTAGTGACCTTCAAATTGAATAAAAATTAATCATATCTATAAAGAAAGATTAGTGAATATTTAACATAAATTCAAGTATAGCTTTTAACTTATTATATTCACATTTATTTAATGTCCTCAACTTGAGCATCCCTCAGGAACATAATCTACATTTTCACTCTTAGGTAAGTTAAACAATCCTATCTTATCAAGATGGTATACTGAGTCATTCTCTATTTTTGCTCACATGCTCAATACTTAATGCATAATTCTGAAACAATGGAGAGCTCAAAATCATCTTTTGAGCTTCAAGAAAATAAGGCTATATTACACAAGCAAGATAGGTATTCCAGATAACTTAGAAACTTAATTTAAATACGTGTTATATTGCAATCGATAAGTGATAGATGTATACACAGAACTACAAGCATCTCCTTACAAATAGATGATGCGCTACTGCCCTCAGAAGCCAATCTGCTTTCGGTTGGCTTCCTTAATTCATACAAAAGGAAAGCATTCACAAACATCTTAGGCAAAGACACTTCTTCACATGTTCTCAGTAGCAATTATACAAGTCTAAGGCACAGAGAGAGCAATGAGATTGACTATAAAACAATACAACTAAAATATAACACCTTGAAATGTTTCTGAAAACATGATCCTGCCACATAAAAAATGGTTAACTGGTAGGATGAAGGATTTGGCCTGCGTTTCTCAAGATAGAAATTCCTCTCTTTAAGTATTCACCCTATCTTGCTTTATGTTCCATCTATAATTCAGTGATCACATATGACATCCATAAAATAGAGAAGACAATGCTTTACTTACAACCTGCAGCTTGATAACATCAAGGTCCAGAGAATTAAAAACAGAAAAAGAAGGAGAAAGAAGAGGTATGTGCTGACAGTCTTTAAGGACATGTGTGTATTAGTTATTACAAGGAGGAGAGGTTAGGGAACCCGGAGATGGATAACACAATGGCAACATAATTTACCATCCATTAGGAAAGGCTTCCAGAATTAGAAGGCAGCACACTGCCTGGTGGAATCCAGGAGAATCCTCATGCTCCCATTGCAAATAAAAGCTTGTAATAAAGGCTTATTCCTATTTTTCTTACGAATAAGGAGGGACATTTCTTGCTCAACTCGCATAGTTTCTAGAATATATATGGTACCTAATGTAGAGAAATGCAAAACCCTTATCACTCAACTTTCAAATTACATTAAATTCTGTTACCACTTTAACAGATGGGAAAGCAGATTTGAAGCAAAAGTAACCTGAGTTCTTCAAATAATTCTGTTTGTCTAGGTTAAAACGGATTTAGAACACAGGACTACTGATACTCAACCATATGCTATTCCACCAGCCTTGACTGCTCAATGAGCCAAAGTCTGGCACTCATTCAATGGGTCCCCAGGGCTAATTTTAGGGTTGCTAAAGCAACCCTAAAAATTAATTTTCTCTGGGTCCCTGTTGTCTTTTGAGATATCTTTTCACTAATTTAAAGCTATTATTTTAATTCAGAAAACTATGAAATAATAGCCTAGCACACCTTCCAGAAGAGATACTAAATAGGTATTCTCAATTTCACTGTGAATTTTGGCACCAAACATGCCAGCAAAATTGAGGAGTACATGTATGGCTATCATTAAATAGATAATGATAGAGGCAATGCCGGAAAAATGTGGTCATCAAAGTCTTAACATTTTTTCTTTGAAGTAATATTCTGTTTCAGTTCAGTTAATATTGAAAATAATAAGTGGTAACAAGACAGTTTTCACTTAATCTCTAGGAAGACTATTAATTTAGAGTTATTAAAAATAAGTACAAAATCTTTGGAGCTATGGTGTTAAGAGTAAAGCCAAGAACATGCAGAGACATAAGCTGTATCTCTCAGGATAATAGTGAGCAACTGGGTGGTAAAAAGTTTGGGTAGGAAGTAGCAGATGCTCGTAAAATTAAAAATTTAGATGAGATATCTATAAGAAATAACCTGAGTAAAATACTCAGGGAAAGAAACTGGGCGAAGTAGCATATCTGAGAGCCACATAAGATTTACATGAGCTCTCCAATTGCCCCCCAAAAGGCTATCTGGAAACAAGGCCATTTCTCCCCTACAGGAATGCAACTGGTTTTCTAAAAGGTACCAGTAAGAAAGTTTTTAGAGGTAAATGCCTTCTGAAACCTCAAAGATAAATTCCCTTTATATGTAACTGTAAAGTATCTAGGAATAACTTTCTAGGAATCGTGCAAACGCAGCTTTAAAACTTTTCTTTCTTTGCTTTAGTTCTCAATTTGCTCAATAGTATTTGAACTCAAAGCAAACTTTAATTAATACAGTATGTGTAGGGTGCCTGGGTGGCTCAGGTGATTAAGTGTCTGACTTCGGCTCAGGTCATGATCTCAAAGTTCACGAGTTCGAGCCCCGTGTCGGGCTCTGTGCTGACGGCTCAGAGTCTGGAGCCTGCTTCGGATTCTGTGTTTCCCTCTCTCTCTGCCCCTCACCCCTTCACGCTGTCTCTCTCCCTTTCTCTCAAAATTAACATTAAAAATTTTTTTTAAAAAATATAGTACATGCACTATGGTAAAGTTAGTTACAAAAAGAAACATACAATTTTAATTTTCTACCTTTTGATGTTTTTGTTTTTTTAATTGAACATTATTTGAAGGTAATATTCACTATATTGATGAAGACTGGGAATATGTACAAAATTTGTTTTCAATATTTAATTAATTTTGTAAAAATAATCTATCCTATTATTTTAGTAATAGTTTATTTTTTCAGTGTTATCACAAAGGCCTGGGATTGATTCTTTTGACTGTTTTATCAAGTCCTTTGGGGCCCTAATGAATAAAATAACATAAGTTCATTATCCTAGCGCCAAGAACCATAATCTTGTCAGATTTCATACACCAAGCAAGTTTTCACTTAGTCCGTTCTTCAATGAAAAACCGTCAAAGAAAAACAGAATCTAGGAAGCACATGAAACTTCTGTTTCCCAGGCAGTAACAATATACTATAATACACCCACTAAACCATGATACAATATAGTATATTACAAGATCTGTTATAATATCTACTGTGATGAAATAAATGAAATTTATTATGTTTAACTTCAACTATCTTTAAATAAGAATAGTGTCCCTATGAAACTAAAGTGGCTTAAATAATATTTGAGATTTTAATTCTTTTAAAAAAGAACAAAAAAGGCAATAGGGTTTCCTATTTATAAATGACTTACTTAAAAGTACTAATACTGCAACAAATCCTGAACACGAAGATATTTAAATATATGAGAATGGATACTAAAGCCTTGTATTCTGATTTCCAAGTTAAACTCTAACAATCAGATTCCATAGTTGTCTTCAATGGATGTCGACAGGGTGCCGGGCCTTTGAATATCTATTCGTGTGATGCAGTTTATGGAACAATCAGGGTACTGGTATAACAAATCCGTGTTCTCAGTGAACAATCTTATTTTTTTTTTCATATTTATTTATTTATTTTTTTGAGAGACATAGCAAGACAGACAGTGAGTGGGGGAGGGGCGGGGGGGTGGCAGACACAGAATGTGAAGCAGGCTCCAAGCTCCGAGCTGTCAGCACAGAGCCCAACACGGGGCTCTAAATCATGGACCATGAAATCATGACCTGAGCCAAAGTCGGACGCTTAACCGACTGAGCCACCCAGGTGTCCCAACAGTAAACAATCTTAAACGTCATCCTAAAAGCCACAGACAAATTTCTGTGTAGCCTGAAAAATTAGTTGAAATGGAATATCTCTTCCTTCTGAATGAGGATGCAGATACTCAGACTTGCTCTGGTTCTTTAGGTTTATGACCTATAAGGGTAAGCTTGGGGGATATCCTATCTGACTATATTTCGATTGACCCTTTCCCACAAACTGGTTATCCCAGAAAACCCACATACTTCTAGAGTTCTTCTACAGATGGGAAAGATTTCCTGGTCCTTCATGGACTCATTTTTTGGAAATCTTAAG